GAAAGCAAGTGTGCAAGACGATTGGAACACTTTTCGACTATCTTTTGTGTATGCAGCTTAACGCCGGCGAATCATTCTTGCGCTTGTGGGCCTTCTTTGGTACATAGAGGCGGGTATCTTCAACGCGACAAGTCGATTTGAGGTCTTCGTATGATGCTGAGCTAAAAGCTCTTCATCACAACTTCAAAAGTAAATTTGGTCTAAGGAGAGTGCGTTGAATATGAATATGAGTAATTTTGTAACTTTTCCTGGTTTAAAATGCCTAACGTGAAGCCGCATGTATTGTCTGGTATCTGAAACATTTCTGTCATAAAACGTCTAAAAATAGTGCTTTGGGAAATGTATCCACGAACTAACATCTGTTTGGCATATAAAAATTTATCAGAATCTTTGATTCAGTTTATCAGTTGAGTGCCTAAGTTCGACAACCGAGTCAAGAAACTGCCTGCGCCAGCAAAGTTCGGTGAACCTCAATTTAGTAAACACTAACTCGTCCGCTCACAAATAGTAATATCTGCTTTTTAGAAAAGCTGAATATTTCCATCATGTTTTTGTATTTCAATATCGAAGATTTAGGAATGAAGAAATATACATATGTACATGTGTGTGCCTGCCAAATACATCGTTTCAACTAACGCATGCCACAAGACGAGAAATTCATTCTATTTACATTCGTTGTTTACATTTATGTATGTATGTAGTTGTGTTTGTGTTGTTGTTTCGAATAAACTCGCATGCTCCGGAGTACATTAATCAAAGTTTAACACTTGGCACGGGTGTTTGTTTAAATTCAATTTGCCTTGTCGACGTGTCACTTGTTGCTTAAGCAAGAGTATGTATGTATGTATGTATGAATGTATGTGCATGTTTTTTTTATTTATTTTACAATGTTACAGCATCTGTACACGCAATGCTGCAGCAGAAACATTTCAGAAAATTATCAATAAAACATACTAAGCCTTGAGATGAAGAGAACTTTCTACGTTGCTCGACGTTCAAGAGGACTTAAGCAAAATCGTTGTTCTTTTTGTTGTTGTTGTTATTGTAACGGTTCGCTAACTCCGTTTGGGAGCAGGCAAGATTAGTCTGGGACAGCGAGGCCCAGAAAATGAGTTCTGGAACTGGGTTCGGGCCAGAGGAAAAGGTGCGGTTAGATAAGTTTTTTTTAGGGAGTAATCAAAGAACTGCTTAGTGTGGTGCAGGGACTCACTGCATACAGGATATATGTCAGGGTCAAGTCTGGATGCGTAGGAGTTTAGTCTACTAAAATATACATACCTAAGATGCGCCAGTATTAGATGGAACTGTCGAGGCAGCTCAAGCTCTTCGTCTGCAATAGGTGATGGTTTCACTCTGAAAAGCCATTCACTGGAAGAGAGTTCTAAAATGGGATTGGCGGGTTACAGGTATGAATCACTCCACTCACGGATGGTTCGTAGGCCAGAGTGTTTTCGAAAGTGGAACTAGCCAGAGCATTAGCTGCACTTGACAGATGTCATGTTCCGACATTCTAATGACCTAAATAGGACTTAGAATGAATCCAACCATTGCAGTAGTTGGAGGAGTCGTTAATGGCATACGCAGTGGAATTAATTCATCGGACCAGCCCTGCTGAGAAAAATTTGGAACGGCGAAATGTTGCTGCGTTGATGTACGTAGCCTAATGTTACCTGTTGACCTAAAGGGGTTAGGTTTCCGAAACGGTTAAGGCCCTCATTGTAACAGATACATAAGATGCATAAAATATTTAAATTGCAGTGATCGTTAAAGCTCTCAGGGAGACATGTGTTGATCCAATACGGCGCATTACAAAGGAGGAGGACCACATGTTCCTCATATTTTTGCTGGATAGACCCGACCAATAAAATATAATTTTTAATGATACTATTATTTTTATTTAATGCAATTTCGAATTCCCAAAAGAGAGACTGTTGATATACATATAATATAATTGAGGCTTTGTAACCACTGAAGCGATTTTCGGCGGAGCTCCTCCTCCAATTTGTTCTGTGTGCCTTGATGTTTCTCCAAGAAATGTGGAGACCTTCTATTTATACTAAGGCACCTCCGAACAGCTGATGGTTTTAGCCATCTACCCTGCATAGTAGGGGTTTAAAAATTCCCCGCGATAAGTTATGCTCGTCCAAAAGATTTCGCGATAGTCGGGTCTTTATACTGAAACGACCCAGATTTTTTAAAATTAATTTGGGTAATATTCTGGCAGCTTCAGCAGCAACAACATGGTATTTAATGAGGAGCATTTATTTCATATCAGCAATGCCCTAGGAGCGTTTGACAATCCCTGTCGGGTGGGGATTGCAATTAGAGAAATTATACCGATATGATCAGAATCTGTCCGCCTGATGTTTTAATCAAAATTGGTAAAAGAATTGGAAATATCAAGTCCAGCTAAGTCCTTCCCTGCCCGTTATTTCTAATAGAGTTTAGGTCTCCACCGACGATTGCGGCATCGAAAGCTTTCCAACTTTTCGCCATTCCAAACTCGTAGATGACCACAATTCTTACGCGAAATCTTTATTTCGTAAACTTCTAACACTTTTGTACCATATTGCAGATGCGACTTTGTAGAGTTTGGTCTTAGTTCGGCGATAGAGGACTTCAATTGCCTACACAGATCATTGGCAATAATGATCCTGCGTTGGATTTCAAAGCGGATATTATTATTATTCTGAGGATTATTGGCGTTGACCGTGAGGTTCCCTTTTTCATAGATTGGGCAAAGTGAACTTCAGGCAAGCTTTTGTTCGATCATATTCTGTAAAGAAGCTGAAGCACGCACCTTGTCAGCTGTTTGCCGCCATTTTTGAATAGTTCTGACTCTGAGCTGTTGTTCTTTAAACGGAATTTTAAACGAACCTCGAAAAAGAAAATCCATTTCCATCGTCATCGGTTGGCGTTCCATTTTCACTGCCATTCAACAGGCTGTAGAAGTGTTCCTTTCGTAAATTCAGTATACCCTGAGCATCAGTAACCTCCTCACCTCTTTGTGTCCTACAAGAGTCTGCTCCGTTGGTGAAACCTTCTGTAAGTTGCCGAATCCGTACAGCTTTCGAGAATTAACCTTATTAACCAACTTTTCGAGCTCTTCATAATCAAGTATCTCTTCTGTAGCTTTTCGACTTCGGAACCGTCTTATGATTGTTAACTGGCACATGATCTGGAAATGTTGAAAAATTTCGTTTTGATGGAAATTGAAGCAGACCGTGGTGATAACAATTTTTCGCTGAAGCCTTATGAAATGAAGACTTATGCAGATCAAAAACAACAACAACCAATATGCCATAGTGGCCACCGATACGGACATATCACTGAAATTCCAAAAGCCCTCGAAGGAAAAAGTGTAAGCATTTTGGGAAGATATTGCCAATGCCCTAAGTCTAACAAGAGTAGGTCAGACAAGAAGGGCAATGCTCCGTGGTAATGGAGCAAACAGCTCTGCAAAAACAGTTTTATGATGAAAGCAGAAGTCATAATGAAGCTGCGTCTAAGAAAATGGAAGAGAGTGCAAGGCATTTAGCTCTGTTTGAAGAGCATGGCGAATACTGCAAGTACAGGAGCGGAATAGGCACAACCAAATAAAGGAGGAATTGCTTAGAAGGAAAATTGCGATTAAACTGCAGATGTTGAGGCCCGAATTGATCCAAGCTACCAGCTTTAACATAATTAATTTTTGTTTTGTTTTTTTTTTTTTTTTGCTTATTTATTGTTTTTTCGTCTATGTAAAATGAATACTGAATTTTTTTATATTTAAATATTATTTATTTGTGAAGGCTGTGAATTGTACTGAGTTATTTTAATTAAATAGAAAATATAATTCACAATATTTGTTTTAATTAAATTTTTAAAACGAAGAGATTTTATTTAAATATTTTTAATTTATGCAAAATCAATCAATCAGCTTTTTTGTGTTTCAATTTCACAAATTCACATACAATCAGCAGATTTCGAAAATGTCTCCTCTCTTCATCTTCTTTTTTCGATTCAATCGTAACTCAGAACTTTTAACTATGACTTAAACGAAGAGAAAAATGGGAACGTAATAAAAATGGAAAATAGAGCTGAATAATCTTTAACTGGCTTAAGGGACACACCTAGTGTGAAATTCAAAAATATCGATTTTTTTTTTCATATCTCAAATAGTTTTTGAGTTAAAGTCATTTAAAGAGCAGGCGCTCGGCAGCTAGAAAGTTTCATCAGCTACAAGTGAAAACTATCATTTTATCTTTAAACAAAAACTCGAAACAGCATTTTTTAGATTTCATCCACGGAGAAGGCCGGAATCACTGCAGCAGTGAAGCACCTTTTTTCGCGCCGTTGAAGATCGACTGTCACTTAAAAAATATTTAATTTTTTTCTTCAAAAATTTTACAGTATATTCTTGAAACATGTAAACATAACAACATAAAGTATTTTTTTTTTAGTAAAAATTCCCAAAAATCACCTTTTTTTAGGCCATTACACTAGTGGTGCCCCTTAAGTTTGATACCTATTTTGTAATATTTCAATTAACTCACATAATTATTGTTTTATAAAATTCTTTTAGATTAGCCTAAAATTTTTCCTACAATGAGCCAAATCGATAAGACATCGTCGCTATATGAAATTTTATTTTATATCTTTCCCCATGCAATCTCCATTATGTTACGATGTATTTACATTTGTATCTTTGCAATAGCCATGTGGAGAAACCTCAACCAGTATTTGGATTTTGCACACTGCATTACAGGCGATAGACACCACCTGTGGATATCACTTTGTCTAAGAGCGCAGCTATGAATATATATGTACATATTCAAATCATCATGAAACCTGTGTAAAACATGGACCTTGCGGATTGTCACAAAAGCTGTTTAATTATAAAATCAAAAATATTTTTGGAAAATATTGTTGTTGTTTATATATGTATATACATATATATGTATATATATAACTATAATATTTTATGGAATTATAACATCGCAGACTTAACGCATTTTGACGCAACTCAAAAAACTCACTTCCTGCGTTGAGTACTAAAATCGCCGCTACTCAATCATTTACACATATACACAAGTCTATTCCCACTCATATCTGAGCGTCAGCAGTAAAGGTGATTTCAACCAAAATGAGTTAAATTTACTTCTCACTCGTTTGTCTGTGGTGAATTTCTTGTCATCTGCCTGCTGGAGTTCACACGTTCTGCTGTTTTCTGATGGTGAATAGATTTGGTTGTACTGTGCCGTGCGAAAGACGAGTGCTGCCGGAAGCGACGCAAGTCAACGGTTTAAATGTGAATTTTTTTCATTTCAACGTTCGCTGTTGAATAAATATAACAATTATTGGCTTTTATACCTGATTGGCTATTTCATAAAAGTGTATAAATGAAATAATAAATAATAATCTTTAAATATGTAAAGAAAATACATATAATGTGGTGAGTGGTTCTCCAATATGAATGGTGTATGTATAGTGGCTTCCTGAGAAATTAAAGAAAAATTTTACTGGCAGAAATAATTAAATTGTGATCGATGAGTTGTGGCCAAGTTTGTGTTTTCTGCCAATTTGCTTGTAGATATTTTTCATAAAAAAATATTTGTGCATTTAAAATAAAATATAAAGTGGTTTTATGCCTATACTAATATATGTATGTACATAGTAAATCAGGTTCTGGTGAATGCAGTTTATATTAAAAGGCAGAAAATGAAGAAAAGCAAGAAAAGGGCTTGAGAATTCCAAATTAAATAAAAAATACACAACTTGCCATTCAAGTATTGGTAATGTGTGCGTATCTGTGTGTGCATTTAGTGTCATTGTATGCGTAATTCAGTGTTTGGTTTTACTGTCGTTCTTGTGAATTTTGTGAGTCGCGCGCGCACATACACACCTAACATTAAGACGGCGCGCCGCATTCGTATGCTTGTTTACCTACCTGAGTGTCGTCGTTGTTGGCCGCTGCGCTGGGTGAGTGAGTAATACATGCATACGGATACGTTAAAGTGCGGGGAAATGCCGTTCCAGCGCAAACAGGCAGGTGTGCAATATACCAATTTGTTGTTGTGTGCTTCGATAAAAACCAGTTGGTAGCAGCGCCGTCGGCAACTCTCAACGTTTCGTTTACGAAATCAACGATCGACGATCTCTCAAAACGTGTATACGCTCATTTGTGTTCACAAAATGTGTAATAGCGTTGCCATAATATTCGAAATGTGCGAATAGCAACAATAGTTGATGTGCAAAAGAATATTGTGAAAAGAAAGCGAACAAGCGCATCAGAATGAAAACACCATTTTTGAAAATGAAAAAAAATATTAATAAATTAAAGTGCTAATTGGTTTAATAAAAGTAAAAAAAAAGGAAATATAAGTGTTAACACAATGAAATTCCAGTAAACAAAGTTCAATAACGCCTTGACCTCTGCTATACTCAAAGCAGAAACTGGTTCATTTGCAATTGCAATAAATTTATAAAGTTCCGAAAACAACAATCCCAATCAAATAAATAGCCATGGAGGAATGTGAGCGACGGTTTACAAAATCTAAAATTGCGCTCTTTCACAGTAGTTGCAACAACAGCAGCAACAACAACAACACAGTTTATAATCGCTCAAAAGTGCCATCAAAAAGAAATTTATGGATTATATGCGGTGTCTGGCTGGTACTCAGCCTCATTGGCAGCTGCCATTGTTCAGGTAGGTGTGTGCGTGCGTGTATATGTATGTGTGAGTGTGTGTGTGTGCTTGAGTGTAAACAAGTATTGCTCACAAATGCCGGTCCAATAAGTGACATGACGACTGTTGTTTGGCAAAGACGGCGGCATTTCCGTGATTACTTACAATTTATTGGTGCTTAGTTTTGCTGAGACATTCAGTAGTGACCTACGACAACGCCGAATTTGTTTTGGGGAGATATTTGAAAATAGAATAGGGAATGTATTATGCGATACACGTGTAAAGATTATAAAAATTACATATTATATGTAGGTATTTGCATTTGAAGACAAGACAATACTGAGCGCACAACGTTAAAATTAGTAGGATTTTTCGAAGGGTATCGAATGTTGGAGGTGTGTAGGGCGTAAAGGCTGGCTGCGAGGCACTTTCAACCCACCCCATACGAAAGTCAATGAATTCAACTTTTAATTAAAATAACTAAAGCCCTCCTGAAAGAAAGAAAGAAAGAAAGAAGAAATGTTTACCTCGATGATACATTGTGCCATAAATGGAAGAAATATTTATGAAAATAAGTGCTCGAAATTAATAGTAATTTATCTGTTGCAATGCTAAAAATATAATGAAGACGAAAAAATTTAATTGAATCAAAAAAATTAAAAATTGAAAAAATCACAACGGCGTGAAATGAAAATGTATGCACAGTCGACTCCAGTGAATGAACCATCTTTATGATTTGGTGGATCTAACGGCCCTACCAACCCTATCATAACCTAAATAAATTTGTCTTAGCACTTAGATATAAGTTAGTGAGTTAAAATTTTAAAGCAAAAAAAAAAAACAATAGCAGAGAAATACTTTGAAAACGCTGACTGCCACGAAGACAACATGTTATGAAATGCCCACTTAAGATCCATATTTCTTCACCGGTTGCCCATTGTGATACATTAAAAAAAAAAAATCAAAAAAAAAATTAAAATTTTTTTGAGCTTTCGGATCATTTTTAAAAATAATTATTTTTTATTTTTATTATTTTTTCTTTAATCTTTGTAGCTTTCGCAACCGGCTACCCGGGTACCCAAGATATATTTATGCAAAATACATCTGAAATTCATTTTGTTCAGAGATGGAAATTGATTTTATTGTTAAAACAGATATTCTGTCTTTGGAGCCTGTTGTAAATACCAAGTAAAGCCAGGTCACTCTCCACCTCTTCCTTCCAAAGGAAAGCAGATACATTGCACTTATTTATTTTTAAACAATATTATTTATTACATTTTATTTATTATTTATTGCTTTACGGTCTTCAATCAATGGATTGGCAAGTTCTTCACCTAGTTTACGTAGAAACAGACATCGTTCTTCTGTTTGCTTCTTAATCATTTTATTATTTTCATAATAATAAATTAAATATGCTGCGATTGACGCGATGTCCAATATGCTGAAGAACATAGCCTGTGGCTATCTTGAACAGCGCCGCTGACTTGTGTATATTCTGAGCATTTGGTCCATAGTGTCAACACCAGTTCTATATTTGTTATAATAATTTATGATATCACAGGCTACTTGTTTTCAAAAAATACTCAATCGAAATGCCAATTAAAAAAATAAAAAGTTAAACGCTTTTTCACTAAAATATTAAAAAATTGAGTCGATAAATTTGGTTATGCACATAAGGGTTAATGCATCAAAGCAGCATGCAAAATATACATGGCAACCCGAATGAAAATGAGCCCACTGAGCATATGCGTCAAAATCCATTCCTTGGCCAATCAATGTCTCTTCGTCAATTAGTTAATTAGGCCCACACCCCAAACTCAAAATTACGATTTATTGTATTATATTAACTCAATTAAAGCTCAAACCTCGTTCCTTTGCCATCGCGGAATTGTTTCTGTTCTGTTCTGTTCTTCATGTTAAGGCAGCGTCCGAGGTAATAAATAATTGATTTCGATTTCATTTCAAAATCAAAAATTTCGAAATTTAATTTCAAAAGCACTCACAATTAGTGTAAAAAATTGTATGGAAATTAAATTTCAGTTTCTGGATAATTTTCATAAAAATTTTATAAGGCAGACAGGCCAAAAACGTCCAAAATTTAGGGTAAAATTCGACTATTTTTTGTTAAAACGCCGCCATATTGTCAGTTTTTTATTTTTTTTATCGTAGGTCATTGTACAGACAATATTATATAGTAGAGAATTATTTTTTTAGATTTCATCCACGGAGAAGGCCGGAATCACTGCAGCAGTGAAGGACCTTTTTTTCGCGCCGTTGGAGATCGACTATAACTTAAAATATATATAATATTTTTTCTTCAAAAATTTCACTGTATATTCTTGAAACATGTATAAATATATTCTTAAAATTTTGAAGTAATTGATAAAGTATTTTTTTTTTAATAAAAATTGCCAACCCCTTAAGCTATTTTGACTATTACATTTTAGTCTTGTTATGACTTAACCAACTTTTTACCACCTTTTTTCGCATTAGCATAACCATCCAACATGGCAAAATCCAATATCCCCTAACCGAAATTGCCAAACAACCCCGCATTCATTTCAAGTATGGCGTTGCATTCATTCGTAGCTAATTTGGCTATTTGCTGACGGTGAGCTTTAGACACCACGTAAATGGTCACCGCTGGTAAATTAGCCGTTTTTCCCACCTGACTGAACTCAATGCGGCTAGTTATTGGACACTTATGAGTGATACGAATGGCAATTCACACACACATAAGTACAACTTTTGTACAGTATTTACAGTGTTCACAAACCTGACGTGCGCGTGAGTGTAAATGTATAAATTACAGTGTTGCTTAACGGTGGCTGAATAAAACTCATGCCAAATGTACTTGAAATAATATCAGAATTTTACTTATTTAAACGGGTTACCAAAGCTGCTAAATACTCTAGCGGTAATTTTATAAATTTACTGTATGCACAGTCGACTCTCGTTAATTCTATACTCGGGGTACTCTTAAAATATTACGCATAATCGAGTGTTCGAAATATCAAATGGTTCGAAACTTTTGAGAGAAAAGAAATAAAATTTGGAGTTATAGAGTGTTGTGAAGAAATTATTATTTAATATCAAATATTTTTGCAATGAAAAAATATACCGCTTACCTGAACTTATTCATATTGTAAGTTAATTAATATTTCGAAAAAAAAAATTGTTAGATTGGTTTGTTTCAAAGTACATTGCTGCTCCCTCAGACTGTTCAATGATATTTTTTTAAGATGAAAAGTGCCTTAAGAGGTTATATCCACTTCCAAAACAAAATAAATGCGTTTCTTAGTAATTTTTTTTTTTTTTTTTTGAAGCATTTTATTCTATAAACAAAAAAACAAATGTTTGCGGACAGAATTTTTACCGTCCAAAAGTGTTATTTTAGTTTCTTCACATTTGGCCAAAAAGAAAAAAACAAGATATGAGACAGTTCCATAAAACTAAAACCCAAAAACAGTTCTACAGAATAATAACCTGAAGAAGCATCTAGAATTTAATTTAGTTTAACAATAAACGACTCGTGTTAAGTGATATTGGATCCTCTTGTTCCTGTAGCCAATATCCAGAGGGGCCTTTAAACAAATGTGTCTGGAGGTGAGGAAGATATTTATGATTCAAATAATATGAAACCCATAAACCAAAAAAAAAATTATTATTATACACGATGAATACAGGTAATGATCGGAAGTTTAGCGAAAATTTTGATTTTTGACAAAATGTCGGCTCCAAAATACACATTTAAATTTTTTGTAAAAAATTTTATTATAAACTCGAAATTATTGTACAAACTTGTATTACTTCTATGATTATCTAAAAAAAATGTTAAGCCGATCGGTTCAGCCATTGCAGCGAAATTTTCCTCTCCGACTCTGAAAACAGCGTATCGATCGCATTTAATGTTTTGAAAAACATTTACACGAAGTTAACCTACTTCGCCTTGCGCTTCGTCGAGACGTACATAAGGATCGATCATAACTCTGAGACTGTTTGTTGGATCAACTTCAGATTTTCGGAATAAATTCTCAGATATTGTGCAAATTAAAAAAAAAATATTTTTTTTTTTTTGGAAATTACAAGAATATAAATGCTTATGTACCACTTTCGTTTTGTATAATGAAGCTTTTTAAAGTGTCCAATGAAGTTGTTGCTTCCTTAACTGACACTTTTTCCAAAAGTTCTGGTGCATCGTTCACATTTTCATCGTTGCTTTTTTAATTTGTATCTGTCACAGATAAAACTTCTCCATTGGTTAGTGAACCAATAGACAAAACAATTTCATACACTGAACTTTGTTTCAATGAAAACTCACAACTCTGATGTCAAGTAGTAGTTCTATTGCTGCTGATTGGAAGATTTTCCCCAGCTTCATTTATGTAACCGGACATTTGAATTTAGTTAGGAATCATTTGGTATGTTACAGATCTCAATGTCTTACCAGTCAATGTAATAGACAATAGAACGTCTAAGAATTATAAATTAACCAGGGATCCGTTCAGATGGTCCATTGCAAAGTTAAAATGTTTACATTTTAGAGGTTGTAATCGGTAAAAAAGAGAAGTAAAGGTCTATGTTATGTTAGACAATGTAAGAGAACTGTGTGTCTAAAAAGTGTAAAATTCTTCGCTTTTATCCTGTCACCAATCAAGCTTTTCTTCTTAGCGAGACAATCAGTAAGACGGGTTTTCAATACTTTGAAATTTCGAGGTTTCTAGTTCTAAGAGTTCAATTTTTTTCCGATCCGTCCACCCTTAGTGTAAATAAAACTGTCAATCTCTCTTTACCATGTTTTTCCCTGTGGCTTTTTTCATCTTTAAAAGTTACCGTCTGACGCGGTAAACTCTTGAAAAATAGGCAAGTTTAATCATTTTCAAAAATGTCCCAGCCTTTAAAGTTCTCAATCAAAGTCTTCAATTTGCTGTACCAAACTAAACAAACTTCATCATTAACACTTCCGATTTCCCCACAAAACTTTAAATACAACTCCAATACTCATTTTGAAATTTTGTGAG